CAAGCATGGCATGTACCAGATCACGGAAAAGTGCGTTGGAGAAGCTTACACTGAAGGGGGGGCTGACGCCTGCTTCTGGACCAGAGGCCTCATCCCAGCAGCGCGGCTGTCCGTGGAGGCTCCGCAGGAGCATGAGAGTTGGAGCACCACTGGCGTTGACTTCGTCGAGGGGTGCTTCGGCGAGGGCACGCGCGAGAAGCCGCTCTACATCTTCGGCGACGCCAGCGGGGGGCGCGAGAGTCGTGACCCACGGCTTCGGCGTGTGGGATGCGGACTGGCCTGCCTGCGCGACCTCGCCGACGACATGGAGTTGTTCCTTGGTGCGTGGGGAGGCCTGCCAGGCCCTCGGCAGACGGTGCCAAGAGGAGAGCTTCTTGCTTTCTACTTGGCCCTAAGGGGCAGCCGCGGGCATCTCGTCTACACGACCGACAACGAAAGTGTTATCATCGGATGGTACAATCATCGGTGTCGTAGTCTGAGGGACCAGACAGCGATTTGTGGTGGCAGATCGGAGTTCATCTCGACCAGCATCCAGGACTCCAGTGCGCGATGCTCTTCGTCCACTCGCACCTCGAGGCCGCTGACGTGCTGCGAGGCAAGGCGCCTCGCCTGCTGGTGGAGGGCAACGCCTTGGCTGACGCCTTCGCCGCGCGCGGAGCTGACGGCGCAAGAGTGCCTGAAATGAGTCGTGCCCGTGTCCAGGCCACTGAGCATAAAGCGTTCATGGTTAGAATGAGGATTCTCCAGAGCACTATTGAGACGTTAGCAGTTGAGCAGGAGCATGAGAAGAGCCTCGGTAGGAAAGCTGCCCGCCGTGTCCAACCTAGGCCTCCTGCCCCCTCTGTCTGCGCAATGTTCTCGTCTCAGCATGTCTCGTGTGAATCTAATGCCGCCAAGTGTAGCAGATGTAAGGGCACAGCCACCAAAGCGAAGCGTAAGGACTGGTTAACCTCCTCTTGTTTTGACTTAATTAGTGTGGACGGGATTTTGTTCGATCCCCCCCCTGGGCGGCGGGTGCACATCGCAGGGGGTTTTCCCGATCCGACACATAATTTGAGGCATCGCGCGGGATTGGGAGTCTGGTACTGTTCAGCGTGCGGGTTCTATGCAGCTCAGCAGCTTAAGGAACTAGCAAAGCCGTGTGTTGGGCGTGTTGAAGGTAATCGGTCCGATTATCTTGATAGGATTTCGCGTGGAATTTGGCCCAAAGCTTACAGCAGAGCTGAGCTAGCCAAGAAGCACAAATCTGTTGTTTAAGTAGTTTGTCCCCGACCTGGTCGCTACATCCAGAACTCCAGAACTCCTCCTCCTCCTCCTCCTCCTCCTCCTCCCTCCTCCTCCTCCTCCTCCTCCTCCTCCTCCTCCTCCTCCTCCTCCCCCCCCTCCACAATTACTCAATATGAAAATACTCCCCCTCTTCCCCTGATGGCGTCCGGGTGATGGCCGCGCATTCTCCGCGTACTGTTTTTTTACACACAGGATGCCCGGGAAATCCCGGGAAACGACTCTCGCTGAGGCGCCGGCGTCATTTTCGGGCCGAGCGCCCCCCGCGTATTGTTTTTTTACACACAGGATTCCCGGGAAACGGGTTTTCGCCTGCGGTTTTTTTTTAATGATGCTCTCGCTGAGGCGCCGGCCTCATTTCTGCCCCCGAATCGTTCCGAATCGTGCTCCCGCTGCAGCGTGGGCCTCATTTTCGGATCGGTGTTTGGCCTCCGTCGTTCAGGATGGCGTTCTCGCCGCGATTCTCGCCCCAGCGCGGGCCTCTTTCTCGCGCGCCCATCCGCCCGCCACCACCGCGCCGCACCACCACCGCCACCACCACCACCACCACCACCACCACCACCACTCACCACCACCACCACAGCACCACACCACCACCAGCACGACACCAGCACCAGCACCAGCAACCACCACCACCACCACCACCACAACCACCACACCACGCACACACGCACGCACGCACGCACGGCACGTGCACCACCACCCACTACGCACAGTGCGCGCGCGGAGCCACAGGTCCGCTACGACACGCGTCCGCGGATAGAGAAAATCAGCGCCATGGTAAGGGAAGGGAGGGAAGGGGGTAGGACGTCAGATATGACGCGAGCGCACCTAGCTTGCCCTCCCCCCTCCTCCTCCTCCTCCTCCTCTCCTCCTCCTCCTCCCCCTCCTCCTCCTCCTCCTCCTCCTCCTCCTCCTCCTCCTCCTCCTCCTCCTCCTCCTCCTCCTCCTCCTCCTCCTCCTCTCCGCGGCCCCGCTGGTTTCGAGTGACCTCTCGCCGGAGTGATTATTGGTGCGGGCCCAGTGAGGTCCCCTATAGACGTGTCGGGGTTGGACAGACCTCCTACCCTGACACGTCGATTAAGGAATTGGCCGTTTACGGTTCGCAAGAGGGCGTCGCGGCCGTCATTTTTGCGGGTCCAGGTCCGTCGGTTTCGGTCCCAGGCCGTTTTCACTAAGGGGAGGTCTACTAAAGGGAGGTTTGTCCACCGCCGAACGCGGGAGTGACCTTGCGCCGGAGTGACCTTTGGTGCGGGCCCAGCGGGGTCCCCCGATCGCTGAAGGCGAAGGGGTGGCAGCGGCTTGCGCGCCCAGGGTGGGCCACCCAGCGTCCCCCGTGAAGTCGCGCACCAGGGGTCACTCTTACCCGGGGTCACTCTTGCGTGGCGCTGGGTGCATGCGCCAAGGCTTTTGCGTCGTGCCCGGTTGGTGCCTGGTTGCGGGCGCCTCGTGGACGCCCCGTGCGCTGGGTTGGGCCGTCGAGGTTTCGCCCGGTGCCCGGTTGGTGCCCCGTCGTTTGCGCTGGGTTGAGCTGTCGAGGTGTTCGCCTGGTGTCCGCTCGGTGCCCCGTTGTGGGCGCCTCGTGGGTCACTCTTGCGGGTAGTCGGTCTTCCTGGGGTCCTGAGACCACCCTGCGCCGCCCTGGGGGCTTGTTTTGAGGCCGACCGGGGCCGCGGCCGGCCTGGCCTGCCAGCCGGCGCGGTATGCCGCACGGAGGCTCCTCGTCCACAAGATGGCCCTGCGGATCTGCCACAGTGAAGCCCCCGTCAGGGGCAACGTTCAGGTGATGGGCCCTCAAGTCGGGCATGTCCCCCTACAGGAAGACCCTTCCAGAATAACTGAGAAATAGTCTGGTGACGATCTTTCGCGCTCGTCGGACTCTTGGTGAAAAGTTTCGGACCTGTCGCATTTTCCTTCTCCGGGACCCGCCTGTAGGAGGACAGGCCCGACCCTCTGATTAGGCTCAGAGAGGGCGATGGGCTCAGAGTTCTCGTCGTTCCGGGTCTGCGGTTGTTCGGGCGCCTTCGGCGGCCGGGGATGCCTTCCAGCCCGCTGCGCCTCGCCGCGGCAGCGCCCCGGGGGGGGCCTGGGCAGGCGGTCCTGGACGGCCGCTGGAGGACCCGAGTTACGGCCCCCGAGAGCCAGCTCCCCTCCCCCCCTAATTCGGTGCAGGTGGCCTGTCCTGGCACGGCGCGTCGGCGCCCGCTTGCTCGGTCAGCGCCCGCCGGGCAAAAAAATCATTCCAGAATAGTTAAAAAATATACTCGGGGGACGATCTTTTTTGGATACTTCTGGACCATTTTGGGGACCTTTTGGACTATCTTTAAGTTTTCGTCCCAAATCCCCCTGACGGAGGACAGGCCCGACTTAAGGGTAAGCTCAGGGGGAGGACGCATCGACCCCCGATCGCCCACGCATCGCCGACAGGGGGCCCGGCAGTGCAGGTGGGGACCCATGCCAAGAGACACCCTGCTCCTCCTCCCCCTCCTCCTCCTCCTTTTCCCCCTCCTCCTCCTCCTCCTCCTCCTCCTTCTCCTCCTCCTCCTCCTCCTCCTCCTCCTCCTCCTCCTCCCTCCTCCTCCTCCTCCTCCTTCTCCTCCTCCTCCTCCTCACCTCCTCCTCCTCCTCCTCCTCCTCCTCCTCCTCCTCCTCCTCCTCCTCCTGCTTGCCGCCAGGGTGCCCTGGGTTTCTTGGGCTTCCCTGGCTTTGCCATGGAGAGCGTGGCGTCCCCTTACGAAAAATCTATGGACGCCCTGGGGTCTCAGGGTTGGGTTTCTTGTGGAAGGTTTCTTGCGGTCGGGCCCCTGCTGTAGCCCACCCCGCCATGAACGTGCGCATCTGCTGTCGGGGGCCCATCGCCGGCCCATCCGAACTGCATCGCCGATTCCAGCTCGATGCTTCCCCCCCCGAGCTGGTCCCCCCATGGCGTTCCCCCTGAGGCGAAGGTGATCTGAGATTCCCTCCTGGAGTCGAGGAGCACACATCGGAATCAGCATACACGTTCGGAGGTCAGCGCGGGTCTCTTGGGCCGGCGATGGATTCAGCTGCCCTGGCGAGCTCCGCGCGCCAGTGAGAGGCGTCCGGCGCTGATCCAAGAAAGTCCACGCGGACCCTCGCTTGCAGAGGACCCTGGCACCGAGCGCAGGACATGCCTTCCATTCGACGTTGCCGTGCTTCGTTAGTTTCTCCCTCGCGGCATCTCCATCCGCAGTCAAAAGCGTGGGCTCAAGCTGCTCATCTCGCGTTGGGACGCATCGGACGCATTCATCGGAGGAGGGTCAGTCGAGACGACGGCCTCCGAGGCTCCGGGCCTGCTGTTTTGAGAGTCGAGGGCGCCGGGGCTGTGGTGCTGCCCTGCCCGTCTCGGGGCGATTCCAAACGCACGCTTGCTCCTCTGGAGGCCAGTCCGCTCAGAAGCAGCCCTGGACCGCTCCTCGGAGGAGGAGGAGGATCGATGACGATGACGATGACGATGACGATGACGACGAGGAGGAGGAGGAGGAGGAGGAGGAGGAGGAGGAGGAGGTCAATGCAAACGGGGGTCGGTCAGCGCGCCGGATCTTGCAGGAGCCTGCAGAGCCAGGGGCGCACTGACCCGGGCTTGGGTGCAGGATCTTGCAGGGCCTGACTGGCCCGGGTCTGCACTGACCCGGGCCACTTCGTCCCCCACTGGTCTGGCCCTCCTCCCAGCTCAGCTCCTCCGAAGTCTGCACAACATGTTCCACGTTGCAGGGCGCGTCGTCTGCGCCTGCGGCCTGGCTGCCCTCGCCGGGCTCGTCGGCCCCGCCGACGCGAGCGCCTTCCGCGGGCGCACGCCCGACCTGGCCGGCTCGCACGGCGTCGACGCAGAGCTCGAGAAGGCCCTGCTGGCGGAGATCGAGGAGGTGCTGGGGAGCAGCCACCGGAAGGCGACAGAGGGCCGCCTCGGCCGCATCGAGGCCGTCCTGCGCACGACCTACCGCTCGCTGCCCAAGAACGCACAGGGCCGCCTCGAGGACTCGGCCGTGCGCTACGCGATGCACAGGCTCTTCGTCCAGCGCCACGCCTGGTTCGTGCAGGGCCTGGACCCGGCGGGGGAGTCGTGGAACACCTCGGCATCCACGGCGTCCATCATGCAGGACCAGCTGCCCGCCTACGTGCTGAGCCTCTTCGAGAAGCGCAGACCGACGAAGAAAAAGCGGCCGATGCACACGCACAAACTTCTGGAGGTCCGCACGGGTTTCTGGGATCTGCGCTGGGCCCACCTTGGCGGAGGCTCTGGCAGCGCCCCTGGCGCGCTCCGCGCCGCGGGGGTGGTGGTGGCCCAGAGCAGGCTCCAGAACTCCGCACGGACCTTCGACCTGCCGCCCAGATGTGGCCACATCAGCTGCCCGCCCGATGGCATGGGCGGGCAGGTGTCTTAGTACGGTGGGGGCGTTGGTTAAGGAATGGGCGCAGGAGGCTTCAGACCCTGGAGGATTCCTTATCCGATGGGGGCGGCGGCGATATCCATGGCCGATGCACGGTTGGCGTTCCACCGGCTTCCAGACCCTGGACTCCTTATCGAAGGTTTCCTTATCCAATGCCCCCACCGTCGCCGCCCTGGGGGCCTGGGGGTCCCGCCCGCGGGCTGTGCAAGCACTGTTTGTGCGGTCGCGAACTTATGCATGCACGGGTTTCGGCCCTCGAAGAGCTAAAGCAAATGCCCCCACCGTATCCACCGCTCTCCGAGTTCCCTGGACACGGTCACGCGGCAGCGGATATGGACACAACTCTGGCGGCGCACTCGGAAGTCTGATCCTCGTCCACTGGTGCTCGGGTCTCCGGCGGCCGCTGTGGGTCGATCTGGGCACCCCCAGGAACGTTGTTGGCGAGGTTCCGCCGCTGGACGGTATCGGCGAGGCCGGGAAACCGCCGAGAACCGACGAGACCCATGAAAACCTCGAGCTTCGAAACCTCGTGTGCTCATGCCGTTCTTCTCTTCTTACGGCATCGGGCACCGCGGCTTTGACCTGCACGAGCTCGCGGTGATGGGGGCCACGTTCGAGAACCTGGTGCACGCCGAGGCCCTCGGGCGGCTGGAGCACACCTACAGGGCGCTGCAGCGCTCCACTCGGGACCCGGGCAGCGCCAATTTCCTCCTGACACACTACCCTGAAGACATTCAATGAACGCTTCCTACCAGAAGCACGAGAGAGACAAGGTAAGGCGGAGGGAGAGAGAGGGCAGTGACAGTGACGATGGCGCGATGGGCACTAATCATGAAACGAGTGGTCCCTGAGGTCCGCCACCATCACACGACACAAGTAGGGTTCAACGGGCACATATAGTGTGTGAGGGCATCATGAGGCAGGCTCCCGAGAGCCCCATTCTCCCCCAACTTCTGGAGACGTCGCTTCTATACCGCAAGCAATCGAAGACGCACGCATGCGACACAGCCCGGGTGGATATGCTTTAGCATGTGTAGCGGTGCACTCGCGCCATTCCTTTGGACTCCCTGCAACTTAAGGTGCTGATGATCCCCGGCGCACTTACTTCCTCCGCATTGTGAATTAGTGACAACTTGCACAGCTGGGGCATGCACGCACAGAAACGTTGTAGGCTCAAGTGCCTGGGACCCGAAACGGCACTGGTAAATGTCCACCTTCGGAACGCACGCATGAGAGAGAAGACGAATTGTCTCAGGAAGGAGCCAGATTGACAGAGCGTTGGATCTGTGGCTCTTGGCCAGATGCTCCAACACCATCGGCATTCTAGCAAGCACGCATTCCTACAGAAAGAGGATGGACGTTCTGAGCAAATCGTTGCCCACATTGAGCTGCCTCCTTTCCCCAGCACAGGTTTCTTGATCCCCACGGTCGGGTCAGGCTTCAATAATCCCACAAATGTGTTCGTGCTTGAGCACCCCCCTCCACCACTCAACAGCTTAAAGCGATGCACGGTCTCCCCCCCTGTCGTCATTGACGAGGTCCAGTGATGGAACGGTGACCCTGTGCCCTCTGCTGTCACATTGGTGAAGAGAGTCCTGCGGGTCCTGGGATCGGCGATGCCCAGAGAGGAGACGCAACAAGAGGTTGCTGCTTTCCCTCGTTGGAGGAAGCGGGTCTCACGCCATTTTATTTGATCTCTCCACGGCAGCGCTCGGTGCAGTTGCCCTGCCAGCAGTGACAGTGGCAGGGCGAACGGCCCTCGGCGGCGGGGCGAGCTGCCCACGGCAGACGCCGGGGCCATAGTCAGGTCCCATGGGCGGGAAGACCCACGCGATTGCCACGAGATCCCTTGGACAGGTTCTCCTGCCGAGCGCGCTTCCCTGGGCAGCTGGCCTCGATGAGCTCCTCTGGGGCCCCTCGTCGGCCAGTGGCAAGCCAAGCACGGCAGCGCCTCGGGGTCCTTCGGAGATGGGCGAATCAGCCGAGTGTGCAAGCGTGGAGCTGCAGCATACGTGCTTGGCAGATAGAACCCGTGGCCCAAGTCTCAGGCTGGTCCCACGCCTTGCGGTTTTCCTTTATGTGCACAATGCGAGTTCGCTCCGGCTCCGTGCGGAAGCCGCAGTCATAAGAAGCGAAGCGAAAAGGGTGACCTGCTGCGGGCCAGGGACCGCAGGGACACTGCACCCAGAATCCAACTCGGTCCCCAGGGCCACCTCCGCGAGGTCCAAGCGGAAATCTCTGAGAGCCTGCTGGTCCTGAACCTCGTCAGGACATCTTATGAGCGACTTTGATATGACCTGTGAGCAACTGATTTTTCTGCCTCTGTGCCTCGCGTATCGGATCGAATCATTGACTGACCCTTCGCCTGGGACCTCCTCCTTTAGAGAGAGATCCAGAACCCATGTGAGGTCGTTGCCAAAAGTTTTGGCCATCCAGCATTGCCTCGCAAAAGGAAGTCGAGCAGCACGAGCAACATAGCTGGCGCGTGCTTGATCAGACGTGCAACGTAACCGCCTCCTCCTCCTCCTCTTCCTCCTCCTCCTCCTCCTCCTCCTCCTCTTTCCCCTCCTCCTCCTCCTCCGTGCTCCGTCCTTCTCCTCCTGCGTCCTCCTCCTCCTCTTCCTCCTCCTCCTCCTCCTCCTCCTCCTCCTCCTCCTCTTCCCCTCGTTTTCAAGAGGAGTGTCCTGCATCCAGGTCGGTCACGAAGGGGTCCCGTTGTTTTTCCTAATAGGTGTCGCTTGGATCCCCAAGCGCCCTTACCTTACCTTACCTCCCCCTCCCCCTCCCCCTTATCGAGGAAGTTTAAGGTTTTCGGGCGCTTTCGTGGGCTCCCTGGAGGTATTCCTCCCCAGGTGCGCTCCAGCAGCTGCGCATCGCCGAGGACGTTTCTTGGGGTGCCCAGACCGCCCCGAACGGCCGGCGGCTGCAAGGGACCCGAGCTGTGGCCCGAAAACCAGAGCTCGGACGAGAAGCGACACCACCGCCACCAGAAGGGAGACCACCCCTGGCTCCACGATGCCTCCCCGATGATGGGGATAGGGGATGTCTCGAGCCAGAGGGGGCGGGGGGGGGGCACACCACCAGCGGGACCTCCCCATGGTCCTCCTGCTCTCCCGCTGGTGGTCCCTGGTGGTGGTGGTGGTGGTGGTGGTGGTGGTGGTGGTGGTGGTGGTGTCGCTCTTCCTTGTTGCTATCAGGGCGGCAGCCTCCTTCCGCCGCGGAAGCAGGCACGACCGAGACGCTTCCTGGGGGCTCGAGGCTCGCGGGTTTCGGGCGCTCTCGTCAGCTTCCCGGTGCTTTTCCGGCCTCGGGGTGCTCTCTCCAGCAGCGGTCGGGGGCGGCAAAGAGGGAGGTGATGATTAGGGGGGGGGGATATCATGGCGTGGGCCATGATATTTCCCCAGATTTCATGGTGTCTCGTCTTATTTCATTACGTCCCCAGCCCCCCCCCAGGGCCGCGCACATGCCGCCGGTCATGATGTGCACCCCCCCCTCTTGGACCCCCCCCTCTTGGCCGCTCCCGCAGCGGCGCGCACTCGCCGATGCGTGCCCCGGGGCGCCACGGGTCGTCCCGAGCGGCCGCCGAGGACCCGAGGCACGAGCTGGTCGTCGGCAAAAACCGCGGCGGGGGGCTCCGCGTGAGGTTTTTTCCCTGTCCTCCTCCGTCTTCCGCCCTCTCTTAATCCTCCTCCTCCCTCCTTCCTCCTCCTCCTCCTCCTCCTCCTTCCTCGCTCCTCGCTCCTCCTCCTTCTCCTCCTCCTCCTCGCTGCTCCTCCTCCTCCTCCTCCTCCCTCCGACCTCCTCCTCCTCCTCCTCGCTCGCTCCTCCTCCTTCCTCCTCCTCCACCTCCTCCTCCCTCCTCCTCCGCCTTCTCCTTTCTCCTCCTCGCTCCTCGCTCCTCGCTCCTCGCCTCCTACCTCCTTCTCCTCCTCCTTCCTCGCTGCTTTTCCCTCCCCTCCTCCTCCTCCTCCTCCTCCTCCTCCACCTCCATCCCTCCTCCTGCCTCCTCGCTCGCTCCTCCACCTCCTGCTCCACCTTTCTCCTCGCTCTGGCCTCCCCCTCCTTCCTCCTCCTCCGCCTCCTCCTCCTCCTCCTACGCTTCCTCTCTCCTCGCTCCTCGTCGCTCCTCCTCCTCGCTGCCTCGCTCCTCCTCCTCGCTCGACATCCTCCTCCACCGCCTCCTTCTTCCTCCTCGCTCCTTCGCTCCCTCGCTCCTCGCTCCCGCTCCACGAATCCTCGCATCCTCAGCCCCTGGTCCTCCGCTCCTCCACCTCCTCCTCCTCCTCCTCCTCCTCCTCCTCCTCCTCGCTGCTAGCCCCTCCTCCTCCTCCTCCTCCTCCGTCCTCCTCCTCCTCCTCCTCCTTCTCCTCCTCCTCCTCTTCCTCCTCCTTCGCCTCTCGCCTCTTCCTCCTCTTCCTCCTCCTCCTCCTCCTCCTCCTCCTCCTCCTCGCTCCTCGCTCCTCGCTCCTCGCTCCTCGCTCCTTCTCTTCGCTCCTCGCTCCTCTCCTCCTTATCCTCATCCGCCCGGTCTTGGGGAAGGGGTCCAGGCACTATACTCTGCCAGAGGAGGGGGCGCGAAGAGACAAGTGCGTTTCACGCCGCGCGGCCTGTGTTTTTGAGATTTTTTGAGTGGCGCCCTTCTTGGTGGGCCCATTTTCCACCACCACCACCACAGGTAGAAGAGGGAGGAGGAGGGGAAGGGGGAGGAGGAGCAGGAGGAGGAGGAGGAGGAGGAGGAGGGAGGAGGAGGAGGAGGAGGAGGAGGAGGAGGAGCAGGAGCAGGAGGAGCAGGAGGAGGAAGATGAGGAGGAGGACCTCCTCTTCCTCCCTTCTCCCCCGTCCTACATACAGCAGTTGTAACCTGTGATCATCACCTCTCCATGGCGTCGGCGCGGGGCGCGAAGCTAACCGCGCGTCGCGCATCGCGGGCACGACGCGCGCAGTTGGGTACGAGAGGCCTCCAGGGGTCCACGCTGCAGGAACAACACGTTCGTCGGAGGGCCGCGCGGGAGGAGGGCCGCCACCTGTGGGTGCCGGCAGCCCCGGGACGGAGGCCTCGAGATCGTTCGAGAGATGCTCCGAAGCTGCGTGCGCGTAAATGTTCGGCGGTCCGCGCGGACCTCTTGGATCGGCGCTGGGGCCCCCCCGCTGGCGGCGCCTCTGGGGCCGCCCTCGGCGCGCTCTCCGCGCGCCACGCGCCAGGAGGGGGGGGGGGCCCAGCGCGGACCTGACCTCCGAGAGTGTAAGCTTCTGCCGTGTCGTCTTCCGCCAGGCTCGGGCAGCGCCAAAGGGGGGCCCCCCGCCGACGGGGGGTCGGCAGCCCCTCCGGAGGGCCGACGTTCGAAGACCGTGGAGATTCGGGACGATCTCGAGCGTTTGTCGAATTTTCGACAGCCCCTCCCGAGGATCGAGGTGAGAGGATCAAGGAGACGTCGGGCGGCTTTGAGCGCGTTGGGGTCCTCGTGGGTCGTCCTCCACCCCCCTTGCAATGGACCCCTCTGGCCTGGCCTGGAGGACCCGCTCAGCCGGGACGAGGCACTTGACGTGATCCAGTCGTACATGGCCATGTACGTGTTGGGGATGAACTTCAGCTCCGCGACCCCGGCGGATTTGGTCTCGCAGCGGGACGCGATCAAGGAGGTCTACCCCAGCTGGCCAGCCACGCAGCAGTTCCTGCTCGACGTGTACGAGGCGACCGCCCCGAAGCGGGAGGAGCTGGGCTTCGAGAGCATCGCCACCGTCGTCGA